TTCTCTTTCTCTTTCTCTTTCTCTTTCTCTTTCTCTTTCTCTTTCTCTTTCTTTATGTCTTTTGTTCTTTCTTTCTTTCTTTATCATTCTATCCTTTAGACCCTTAAAACCTTCTTTTGCCTTCCCTCAAAGTGGTCGTGGAAACTGCGAGAGCTGGTGAGGTAGACTGGACATCTGTGCCTTGGTTATATAATATATATATATACCTTTTGCTACAAAAATTCTGTTCATCAAGTCTTATGTCTTGGACTTCCAACAACTTTTTCCGGTGAACCCGCCCGCATGCCTCCCTGAAAGTGGGGGGTATTAAACGAACTGGCCTACAAACGCTGGCCTCAAATGGCATATTATTTTGTGGAGGCTTGGAGCATGGCCAGACTCTTGCCGTGTAGAAGAAGACTTAGTTTCACACATCGTGACACGCGGGACCTTCTACACAGGTGGACATCTTAGGGAGAGATACAAAAGATCAAAAGGGCCTCCTGTTTTGATCCGCAAAATGCCAAACATATGATATACGAAGGGGAGCTCAAAACTCTTTTCGGTATTGTGGGACCTTTCCTTCAAGCCATGCGATCCTGGTGCCTGAAGTAAAGTCCCATGCCCGCAGGTTGGTGTCCAGAAAGTTCTCCGCCAACAACGTTCCAGGTGCGCCAGGTCTTTCTTGATGTCCTAAGCGAGCCAAACAAGAAGAAACTAGTAGTAACAAGGTGCCACGCTAGTAGTAACAATGTTTGCTAGTAGTATGTCCTAAGCGAAGTTGAAGTTGGCGCTTTGGCCATCGCAAAGGAAGTTCTCAATGTGTTGAGAGAGGACAAGACGCCAATCCAAGTGCTCCTGCGAGCACAAAAGAAAGAGTGGAGATTGAGTGGAGATGCCCTTTGTTCCGTTCGTAGCGATGCCTTTTGCTCCTAGTAGCGTTCTTGTTCCAGTAACTACTCCAATTGTCTATATCGTAATTTTCAGTGCCGGAATTCAATTGATCCATGGAATTCAGCCCCTTAGGTCCTGACGAAATGTGAAGGGTTCATGTGAATTCTCCTTGAACCTCGGAACATCTTTGCTGCTTTGCTCGTTCTTTTTAATGCCAACCGCGCATCTCCATGCTTCTCACATCAAAGTGGCAGTGAAATAGAATGAATTAGTACCCGTCTGGCCTGTCTGAGTATTTTTGCCCAAGGAACACAGAGAAGATGCACACTTCAAAGCGACACCTGGAATTCCAGCGCACCACCGTGCTTGGCCCTCAGTGTGAGTTAGACCACTGACCCAACTCAACTCACTCAGCGTCTCCTCAACTTGTTGGCGATTTGACCGTCTCAAGGGTGCGCACATCCACCGTGGAACTCGTTTGCTGAGGTCGTCTCCTGCTTCTGAGGTATCAGGTTTCAGGATCTCCAAACCGAAGGTGGTCTGGAGTCTTGCAATCTGCACTTTCACCTGGCACATTCCAACATCCTGTCAGCCTATCAGACTACCAAAACATGCCCACATGGCCTCTACGGCTGCTTCTTCAAGGACCAGGTCAAACTCCACTGGTAAACCGAACATCGTGAAGAGAAGCCATGACTTGCCAATTTCACAATGCCTTGCGCATTCACAAGAAAAAACACAATACAGTCAGTGTTTATCTCAAAAACATGAACATTTGAGAGGACGAGCTACCGTTCGTATCGAAGGTAGGAATTCACGCGCTCCAACAACACATGGCGCACTGTGTCAATAGTTGCTTCCACCTGAGAAAAACACATCAAAAGTCGGAGGCTCTTGCAAACAGTTTTTCGGCGCCAGCTGCCAGGCTGGCCAAATAGTTCAGCACTATTCACTCAAGCCAAGCTGCAGGAATCACAGCAGCCATTGTGCAAACTCCCGAAAACAGGAGTTCCACCTCCACGTGGTCGCTGTCAATGCATTCCACCTTCAATCTGCGGCGCTTGGCCTCCAGAAAAAGGCGCAAAGTGTGGCAACACTTGTGTTGTGCTTGTTTGCTTATATTTATCGCAAATTCCTGTCCCACCGTTGATCTTGAACTTAACCCTTCAGCACCCTTCTTGCATCTGAAGGATTGCACAATACTGCGCAACATAAAGTAAGGGGCTGTTGCATGAACACGGGGAAGGCAATTGCACAAAATCCAAAGTGACAAGCATGGCCGGCAACTGCATGCGGTCAACCCAGGAACCACCACGCCATACACAAACAATCTTCATGTGCAGGAGCCCGCAATGAACAGGAGGCACAGCAAAAAATGTGCTAGTGTGTGAACATGTGTTAGTCAGTCTACAAAGCGAGAAAGCAATTGGAGCTGCTGCGCCAGAATCAGAAAGCCGGCAGCCAAAGACTATCAGGAACAAAGCCGTTGGCCGGCTCAAACGCGTCGTCCGCTCTGACCGCCAAAACTGGCCGCTGACTATACACATTTTCTAGAACCAATCGAAAATGCCAAAACATGCACTTAACCTTGCCGGAGAGCCTGTGTTGCCTCGACAACACCCATTTGTGGAACGACATGGGAAACCCTGGGAAAACATCAGCTACTCGTTTCAGCACTTCTTCAGCGAAGCTTGCAGCTCCACTTAGCCGCTTTGTGCTTCGGGCCAAAGACCTTTGCGCATCTGGCGAAACCCACCACAATCTCCCAGGCCATCAAAAGCCATTTGCATGAGCTGCAAAGTCCACCTTTAGCCCTCAAAGTCGCAAGAGAAACTTCTACAAAGTCACGCCGGTGTTTTGAGAAGCCACTTTCTGCGTTCGCACCGCGAGAAGTCGACGCCACCACAGTTTGGAGCCATTTCTCAGAGCAATCCCGCAGCAATGCCCATGAAAAAAATGTCCAAGGCAAAGGCATCCATTTTCTGCTCATCTTAACGAAAGGCCCAAAATGTGGAAAATCCCCAAATGTATAAAGCGGAATTCTGGCAAGGAAACATATCATCCAACGGAGAGAACATGACTCACGTTTGAACAAAGACTCTTTGCACCAAATTGCAGCTGGGCCAACGCGCCGATTGAAAGTGCAACACGACCCTTCAAGCACAGTAAGTCACTCCATTCGCCTCTGGAGGCAGGTCACCAAGTGGCAGAGACGGTCGCATGCCCTGCCTGGCCGAGCGCTCTAGCTGCATAACCTAAACACAAAAACACTGTTTGTAAGGTAAAACTGTCTGGCATTCCTGAAAAAAAGGATTGTTCAGATCCTTTTTGGATCTTGTGGCCGTAAGTTGCAAAACCAAACAAATCCTCGCTCCCAACTCAAAACCCACACTCTTGTCGCGCAGGTCGCAAAGCTGATTGTTGCTGAATTCGTATTCAACGTAACAAGCGTTATTGTTTGCAATTGGTAAAAACTGTGACCAAACCCTAAGGCCTCGACTTTAAACGAAGACGCGTCGGCACTCGGCACCTGTATTTTTCCTCCAAGACTTCGAGTTCGACCAGCTGCCGCTGGAAACCCACATTCTCCAAGATCCACGGACGCACTTTGGCCTTGCAAATCACGCACTTTAGGAGCAAGGACGCTACTAAGGGCTCCTGGCATCGCTACTAGTAACAAGAAGCTACTAGCAACTCCTGGCATCGCTACTAGGAGCAAGAAGCTACTAGGGACTCCTGGCCTTACTACTAATGCATTTGAGCCTTGCACATCTTTAGCATTCTTTAGCTATCAGCCTCCAACCTAGAAGCGATGGTCTCCCGAATAGCAGGCACATGCTTGGCTATCAATATTTCTTGTGGGTTCTTGTTGGCCTGTTTGCAAAGTCAAATCCTCACGTGTCATTGTCTGTCAAGAATTCAAGAATCGTTGGTTTTCAGTGATTGTTGCATGCGCAATGTCTGCAACAACCTTTTGAATGTCCCCTGCTGCCTTTCTGGAGCATTGCTATGGGGGTACCTTCGGGCCTGGGTTCCCCCACGCAATTTCGAAGCACATCTTCCAAGTGTTTTCCATGAAGAATCTGGACGGCAATGGCCAATGTAGCAGAGCGGTTTTGCCCAGCCACGCAGAAGAAGAACACATTGCCGCCTGGAGTGGTCTGCCGAATCGATGAAAAGGCTGTTTCAGGAGGTCCACCTCATCGATTTCACAAAAAAAAACAAAAACACATTTGCTGGTGTTGTCTTTGTTTTATTGTGCTTTCTTCTTTCTCGCTCTTTTATTTATTGTTTCCTTTATTCATGTTTGAAGAATAAAACAGGTCCACCATGGTCCTGTTTGGCGGATGCGGTCGTAGAAGGTCTTCGCAGTGTCGAGGTGCTCCGAGCGAACTCCGCTACGATCATGGAGAATTGGGTAACCGTAGTTGTCCTGCTCAGCACTTGCTAGTAACAAGGGCATCGCTTCGGACGGAGCAAGGACGCTACTAGGGGCTCCTGGCCTTACTACTAGGAACAAGAACGCTAATTACTAGGAGCAAAGGGCATCGCTACGAACGGAGCAAGAACGCTATTTGGTCAAACTGATGCCAGTGGGGAGACAAGTGGAGTCCCACATGGAGGGACAAAGGAAAATGCCAGTGGGAAACAAGAAGGGAGACATATCGGGAGAAGGGGAAAACATCTCGTGACAGGATGCCACTGGGCGATTTGTAAACCTCGAAATGTAGATTTCACAACAGCCACAGCACTTGGCGGACCTCAAAGCGCAGAATTTGTGGCAGGCAGGGGCCTTAAATGATCCACAATAGGTGAGGCCTACAATAGCCCCACCGTCCCAAGGCGTGCAAGAGCTCGCCCAACACAAAAAAAATCTATCGCATGAGTGGCGGGCTGGCCATAGATAACAAAATAAAAACTCCATTGGGTTGTGCAGAACAAGTTTGAAATCTACGTCTGTCGGCTGCTACTGTCTCAAGGCTCCCACCACGACGCCCCCCAAAAGACAATTGCGAGGTCACAGTCTCTAATTATTCCTCTGGTGGTGGTTGGTATACCCGGGTGTCACAGTTGTTGGAAGCAAACTGCTGAGAACAAGAAGGTTGCTCGGGGCTACAACAAAACACCGTGGATTTGCTTGCTGACACGAGTCAGTTCTGACCCAGTGGGGAAGGCTCAGTACCACCAATTATCAGGGAAGCTCCGCCACCAGCACCACCAGCAGCTTGAAGCCACTGGAACATGACGTTTTGTGATGTTTTGTGGTTGTTGTTTCCAAACATTCAAGGTTGGGGCCAAAACAACACGGGACTACAGTCTTTGTTTGTTGCTAACTATGTGGGAAGAAGAAGCAGGTAGTAAACATCCTCGCTGCTTCCGGTAACAAGGATCCAGCCCGAGGGCTGGAGAAGCCCTTGCATGATATTGAAATGGTTCAAAACATGTGCAATTCAGTTAAGCATGCGCCACAAGGACAACGCGCTCCTGGCTAACATTGGTGAAGCCATAGGAAATACCTGGGCGTAAATCAAAGCGCACGTAAGACGCAAATCTCTTGGAAGCATCTCTTGCAAGGAAGCCCTCTTCTACCGTTTGGAAGCATCAAAGAATCCTTCCGCATCCGAGCTCGCCGGCTCTTCCTACACCCGCCTAGCAAAAAAAAAACAGAACCTGAAATAGCTGGCAAGTAGCGTCCGATCGCTCCATTCGTAGCGATGCCTGTCCTTGCTCCTAAGTCCTAGTAGCGTCCTTGCTCCTAGTAGTAAGGCCAGGAGCCCCTAGTAGCGTCCTTGCTCCTAGTTAGCTGGCAAGTAGCCATTTTCTGTGTACACGTCCAAGTTCAAGGAGCTGATGCCAGTTGGTGCACAATTCAAGGCACCTGTGACCTCGAGGCATCAATTTCAAGAAAAAGCGCTCAACACACTCAGCGTGCTGTCGTTCCATTCCTTCTCAACATGCATACCTTGGTCAAAGTTCATCATTTGCCAATAAGCTTTCAAGCTTTGTTTTCGGTGCTTGATCATTCAACCATCACGAGGGACCAGGACCTTTTCAATGTCCAAAAAGCCTCAAAGACAGAACAACTGCACTGCCTCACGATGGCGCCAGTTCGCCTTTGCATTCCTGTTTACAACACGTTGGTGTCCTAAGCCGCCAGTCGTTGCCAGTCGCCTTTCAGATCGTTCACTCCGTGGACGCTACGAACGGAGCATTTCGCGCATCGCGAACCGAACGGAGCGATCGGGCGCTACGAGTTCCGGGGCTCCTGGCCTTACTACGAACGGAGCAAGGACGCTACTAGTAACAAAGGGCATCGCTAGTAGGAGCAAGGACGCTACTAGTAGCTCCTGGCCTTACTACTAGTGACAAAAAGCTACTAGTAACAAGCGCATTACTAGTAATTCATCCTGCCAAGCTCTTCCTGGTATTTTGACTTCCAAGTACGAATCACAAAGTTGGGCAAAGGAACTTCATCCGTCTTCGCTTTTGCCTCTATATCAACTCCTGATTTCTGGACGTTTTGTTTTTTGCGCTGCGCGTTCATAGAGTTTCTGAGTCTGCAAAACATCTGAAGGCCCACTGTATCAGGCCGACCCACACGGGTAAGCTGAAGGTCAGATCGTCAGATTTCTGCGAGTCTGCGGTGCAGATCTCGACGTCTGTGACTAGCCCTGATGCCTCACGGCAGAGAGATCCTCTACTCAAACTTTTCATCCAGGATTCGTCGGATGAAAGAAACGCACCCTCCTCCCCCCCCGAAGCCACGCTCCGCGAGTTTCAGCACGATTGCATTCAGCAAGGATACCATAAACGCACAACTACATCCCTATTAGTAGGTTGGAGGCCATCTCTTCTAGGTTGGAGGCCATCGCTAGTAGGTGGGAGGCCATCTCTTCTAGGTCCATGGGCTGCAGGGCCATCGCCATAGATTTGTTGGACACTGAAAGGAACAGCGCCAACTTAGAATGGCTGAGGTTCCACACTTGACAGGTCTGTGGCCAAAAATTTGAGCGCCAGATCGCAAACAAAACTTACAAAACATGCAAGCAAATGCAATAGTTGAGCAACACACCGAACAGAAAAGAAAAAAAAGAGGTGCAATCACACTCTGAGCTGCGTCCAGGCTACGCCCAGACTCACAAGAGTACGCACATCGGTTGCATGCTTCTTGTTGCCCACGAAAAGGCCATCGCCGACCTCTTGAGCAAGTCAAGGCAACAAAAGTGTGAAGAGTGTGGCGGATTGTTGCCAAGCCCACAAAGGCCATCACTAGTAGGTAGGTTGGAGGCCATCGCTCTTAGGTTGGAGGCCATTGCTCTTAGGTTGGAGGCCATTGCTAGTAGTTGCCAAGCGCACAAAGGTCTGACGAAGGTCTGCCTGTGATGGGCAGCTGTCACAGTTGTTCTCGATTGGCTGTGCAACCAAGCCCCGGAGCATCTGGAGCTTCTCCTCCATGTATTCCTCACCAGAAAAACGGCCAAAACGATCTATGCACAGCCAAGGCAAAGCATTGCAAAATCGCACCTATGGACCTATCCATGATGTGCCATTCCCTAGAGTCTGCAGTTTATTACCCCGAAGCCCTGCCTGGCTGATTTGAAGCGAAGCCTTTGCACCATTGCTTTTGGGGCTTGGATCTCCCATGGCGTGTCTGGCTTCAGTGTCAGCTTGGATGTCATTCGTGGACGCGTCGCACTGCAGGTGAGTAGGTGGGTATGGTTGTGGGTATGGTGAGGCAAGGTTGTGGACATGCTCTTGCATCTTGGCAACAGGCAAGCTTTGCTTAGATGCATCCTGAAAGTGTCAAGTTTTCTGCTCTGCTACATCTTATCTGGGAGCTTCTTGATCATGGGCAGAGACACAGACCAGCATCCTTTCGTGGCACTCCACACAGTTTCACAGATCGGAAGATCGCAAGAACTTTGACCTCCAGACCTACCTTCTTCGCTGCTCTGCACTGCTCTAAGCTGCTCTCGCCTGTCGGGTACCTGGGTCGCGATGCTCCAGCCGAGCTTCAGCCAGCTTGATCGCCTCGCAAGAGGAGACCCCATTAGACCCAAGAAGCTACGAGTTCCGGAGCTCCTGGCCTTACTACGAACGGAGCAAGGACGCTACTAGTAGCAAAGGGCATCGCTACTAGTAGCAAGGACGCTACTAGTAGCTCCTGGCCTTACTACTAGGAACAAGAAGCTACTAGTAACAAGTAACAAGTAGTGTGGAAGCTGCTCTGGTGTGCCGTCTTGGCCATTGCGCCTTGGAGTGCTGGTGGTTCCCAGTGGTGCCCTTTTGTCTAAAAATCTAGGAGCCAAAGGAGTAGCGTGAGCTTTCCTGCATCCAGTTACTAGGAGTGTCCAGTACCTTGTAGCTACTAACTAGCTTACACCTCCTCCTCTAGCGGCCAACCCCCCGGCTTGGAAGAAAAAACATTGTCTTTCTTTCTCCATCGTTCTCTTCAGGTCATTCCTTTTCTATTATTGAAGTCTGCAAAGTCCGAGTTTCGCTCTGACACGCAAACGTTCACTAGCGCCTTCCTGTGACCCACACCACAAAGCTCCGCCATGCCATAGATGGCAGCCATGCGTGGCAGGGGATCAAAGTCCTCTGTGACTTCCAAGTATTTCCAAGTTGCAATTGCAACACATGTTGGGGTCATATGAGACATCCACTTGTGCAGGATTCGTCCAAATTCCCGATCATTTCATCAGCAAAACCTCCGTCAAACTCATTCAATCCAACAGGGAAAGTAGTTGATCAAAACTGAAAACTGTTTTGAATACCATATTCTGTTTTGTTGTAATTGTAGCTCTCTGGTTGAGTCGAGAGATCCCAGGTGGCAAAAGCAGAGCAAAAGAAGAGGGAAGAAGGAAGAACGAGGAAGAAGGAGGGATGCGAGAAGGGAGAAGAAGTGCCTAGTAGCAAGTGGAAGGCCTAGGAGCTTCCAATACCACTTTAGTTCAACACACCGTGGCCAATGCTCCTCCAACATCCTCGCCAGCTTTCGCAATGATGGGAGGTCATTCAACGTCGCCGTGATGGCCAGTGAGTCTGTGGCAGCCTGCGACAGTGTCTACGGCATTCAATGTTCCACTTGGGACAGTGTCTCCATTCCTAGTAGGTTGGAGGCCATCGCTACTGGGTGGAGGCCGTCGCTACTTAGGGTGGAGGCCATTCCTAGTAGGGTGGAGGCCATCGCTACTAGGGCGTGGAGGGCATCGCTACTAGGGTGGAGGCCATCGCTACTAGTTAGTTTATACATCGCTACGTTACTAGGGTGGACTTGCTCAGCAGCAAACAACCCCAAGCCTTTCGCACAATCCACGACCTCAGTGATCGGAAACCACACAAGTCATTCTTGAAGCCGTTATCCAATGCAAAACACCGCTCAAGCAGCCGCGCCGGTCATCACAAGCGCTCTTCTCCAACTCAATGCTGTGCTGATCGCCCTTTTCCTCACGAAGTTACGAGCGATGCATGGGTCGATGTGGCTGTAGGTCAAAGCCGTTGCAGCATGTTCTGAGTCAAGGGCCGCGATCTTTGCAACCTCACTTCCGGCGCATGGAGGACAGTGCCAAGCAGAAAATCATGTCATCATGGCAAGGTCTTAAAACCTTCATATCCTTCCGGTTGATCGGCTGAATTTACTCCTTCACGAATGTGGTTCATGAATGTTTGTTTCTAAAAAATTACACCACCGTAGACCCCAAACAGGTGGGACAACAATGAAGCATTCCCAAGTCCACTTCTTGAGAATTGAGACAAGGCGGACACAATGACCAACAAGGAGGGAGACAAGAAGAGAGACAAGAAGGGAGACAAAAGGAAACAGAAGGGAGACAAGACGGACACAGTGACCACCAAGAAGGGAGACAAGACCGGAGACAAAGGGGGACAGAAGGGAGACAAGGCGGCCACAATGACCAACAAGAAGGGGGACAAGAAGGGCGACAAAAGGAAACAGAAGGGAGACAAGGCGGCCACAATGACCAACAAGAGGGGAGACAAGAACGAAAACAAGAAGGGAGACAAAGCAGACACAGTGACAAACAAGAGGGGAGACAAGAACGAAAACAAGAAGGGAGACAAAAGGAAACAGAAGGGAGACAAAGCAGACACAGTGACAAACAAGAGGGGAGACAAGAACGAAAACAAGAAGAGAGACAAAAGGAAACAGAAGGGAGACAAGGCCGACACAGTGACCCACAAGAAAGGACACAAAGGGAAACAGAAGGGACGAGGCGGACACAATGACCAAGAAGGGAGACAAGAAGCATATAGAAATGTTCATCGCCAGCAGAAAAGGGCGGACACCAGCAGCGACAGACCAGGGAGACAAATGAATAGAAATGCTACATGGCCAACGGAAAAGGGCGGACACCAGCAGCGACTGCATGGCCAGCGGAAAGGGCGGAGACCACCAGTGACAGACACTGGGAGACAAATGAATAGAAATGTTGCATCGCCAGCGGAAAAGGGCGGACACCAGCAGCGACAGACCTGGCAGACAAATGAATAGAGTTTCTACATGGCCAGCGGAAAAGGGCGGACACCAGCAGTGACACATCTTAAGAAAGAATTGAGAACCCCTAACAGTAAACCGTTTGGAGAACTAAGAGGAATTTAGTAGCTTCTTGCTCCTAGTAGTAATGGCCTCCAACCTACTTGCGATGGCCTCCATCTAATAGCTACTAGTATACTACAACATGGTCACCCTTTTGGAACGGTACAACACGGGGCTGTCCGAGCACCCGGGCTGCCACCACGGCAGCTCGCCGCACTGACTCGTGCCAATCATCCAATCTGCACAGGAAATGAGAGAAGGATACAGCAGGACTCAGCTTCGTTTGCTTGAAGAGGACTCTTTTAGTCTCTTTGAAGAATTGCGAACGAAAGTTCTCAAAGGATCTCAAACTGAAGAAATGTCCGAGACATTCAATGTGTATCGTCCTTCTGTTCCGGACGAATTCGCTTCTCAAATTCTTTAAAGGAACAAGTGCATCGCTACTAGTAACAAGTGCCTTACTAGTAGTAACAAGTGCCTTACTAGTAGGAACTTGAGGCCAAGGGGGGGGCGAAAGCTAGCGCTCCAGAATGGGAAAGTGGAGGGCAGCGAGGTAGGAAAAAACACGGCGCTCTCTGTGGAGGCAGGGGTGAAGAGTCCTTTATATGTGGCTCTTTGCTCGGATCCTCCTGCGAGAGAAGAGAGAGAAGAGAGACGGAAAGACGAGAGACAGAGAGGAGAGAGAGAGAGAGAGAGGAGAGAGAGATGAGAGAGATGAGAAAGAGATGAGAGAGATGAGAGAGATGAGAGAGACAATGAGACAGTGAGAGAGTGAGAGTGAGAGTGAGCGAGTGCGGCCGCAAGATACGCAACGCTAACCGCACGCCAAAGAGCGACGACAGGACGGAGTCGAACTTACGAAGAGGGAGGAGGGAGGGAGGGAGGGAGGGAGGGAGGGAAGATGGGAGGAAGACAAGGAGGAGGAGAGGGGAGGTGGGGAGACCTGAAAAATCAGGGGTTAGGAACCTTGCTATCGCAAGAGTAACGCTTTCGTGATATGTGGCTCTTTGCCCGGATCCTCCTGCGAGAGAAGAGAGAGAAGAGAGACGGAAAGACGAGAGACAGAGAGGAGAGAGAGAGAGAGAGGAGAGAGAGATGAGAGAGAGATGAGAGAGATGAGAAAGAGATGAGAGAGATGAGAGAGATGAGAGAGATGAGAGAGATGAGAGAGATGAGAGAGATGAGAGAGATGAGAGAGAGAGAGACAGTGAGACAGTGAGACAGTGAGACAGTGAGACAGTGAGACAGTGAGAGTGAGCGAGTGCGGCCGCAAGATACGCAACGCTAACCGCATGCCAAAGAGCGACGACAGGACGGAGTCGAACTTGCGAAGAGGGAGGAGGGAGGGAGGGAGGGAAGGTGGGAGGAGAGGGGAGGTGGGGTGGGGAGAGGGGAGAGGGGAGAGGGGAGGAGGGGGGGGGGCCTACCTGTACAGGGTTCCACTCCAACAGCTGATATAGTGTGTCCATGCTTGACTGCTTCAAGGCTCAAGAGAGGGTCAATGGACCTAAAGAGCAAGAGGATAAGACTCTGCGCATAAAAGACACTAGCGGTCTGCACCTCTACCGTGTACGCCCTAGTCACTCTTTCAGTGGTAGCGGAGCAGTGATCCTGGAAGACCCAGGTGAGCTCCTTTCCTAGGCATAGACTTGCTAGTGGGCAAACGGCCATGGGTTGGATTGGCGACTGGGAAGAGCCTGATGCGGATGTGGCTTATGAGCCAGCAGCCTACGTGAATAGGCATGTGAGAAGAGAACCAGCAGCAATAGCAATGACAACACAGGTCACTACAAAGGTGCCCCCATCTTATGATGGAAAGACTTCATGGTTTTCCTATGAGGATGCCATAGACGATTGGTGTGATATCACCGAGCTGGAAGATGAGAAGAGAGGACCAGCTTTGAGAAACAGATTAGAAGGAGAAGCAGCAGTATACAAACGTGTATTAGACAGAGATTCATTGAAGGCTAATGAGCCACCAGGAGCAGGAGTAGATTACTTCAAACGAGTACTACGACCATATTTCGTGAAAGGATCAACCAATGTATTCCTATACAGGTTTATGCAATTCGTGCGATTCAATCGAGGATCAGCTGACATGATGAAATGGATG